AAAAAAAAAAAAAAGAAAAGAATTAGCATGTGACCCAGCAATTAATTTCCTAGGTATAATTGGAGTTATACTCCTATTATAAACTCAAGAGAAATGAAAACATAAACATGGGTCCACAGAAAAATGTGTATGTGAATACATGAATATTCATAGCCACATTATTCATAATGGCCCCAAAGTGAAAACAACCCAAATGTCCGTGCACTGATGAATGGATAAACAAATGGTGCCATATGCATACAATGGAATGTTATGTTATTAAAAGGAATGAAATGCTGATATATCCTACAGCCTGGACAGACCTTGAAAACGTTGTGCTTAGTAAAAGGAACGACTCACAAAAGGGCATATTTTGCGTGATTTCATTTACATGAAATGTCACTAATGGGTATATCCATAGAGACAGAAAGCAGAGGCCGGGCACAGTGGCTCATGCTTGTAATCCCAGCACTTTGGGAGGCTGAGGTGATCGGATCATGAGGTTGGGAGTTCGAAACCAGCCTGGCCAACATAGTGAAACCTCATCTCTACTAAAAATACAAAAATTAGCTGGGCATGGTGGCAGGCACCTGTAATCCCAGCTACTTGGGAGACTGAGGCAGAAGAATCACTTGAACCCAGAAGGGGAAGGTTGCAGCGAGCCAAGATCACGCCACTGCACTCCAGCCTGGGTGACAGAGCAAGACTCTGTCAAAATAATAATAATAATTCGCATATCCCCCTCTGGTTTGGTAGACCTAAAGCATTGCTGGTGAGAATCCCACTCCTCTGGAAAGCCTATGTAAGTGTGAGTTTGGCAGCAAGCTGTCTGTGTCTTGCAGGCTTGTGACATCACAGGAGGACTGTACCTAAAGGTGCCCCAGATGCCATCCCTTTTGCAGTACTTGCTGGTAAGGAGACAGCGGCAACCCTGATGCCTGGAGGGAAGGACGACCTCTGCGTGCTGGGAAAGGACTGGAAGCAAGATGGCTGGAGCTAGTACTTGGAAGAAAGGAATAAATGTGGGCCTTGGAATTTCAAGGCCTAGAATGGTGGGCTTCATGTTATTTTTTCTCCGTGTTTTAAATAAACCCTTTTGTTTGTTTATTTTACAGTGGGTGTTTCTTCCCGATCAAGATCAGAGATCTCAGTTAATCCTGCCACCCCCAGTTCATGTTGACTACAGGGCTGCTTGCTTCTGTCATCGAAATCTCATTGAAATTGGTTATGTCTGTTCTGTGTGTTTGTCAAGTAAGTTCATGTACCTAGTTTTTCTTTTTTTTCCTATGTTGGGGGGCAGGAAAACAGTTTCTCAGCTGTGTTGTTTTTCAGCCACCCTATTGTTTCTTTTTTTTCTTTCAATTTACAGTATTCTGCAATTTCAGCCCCATTTGTACTACCTGCGAGTAAGTACCTTTGAGATTGTGTGGGTGACTCATACTTCACAGCTCTAGAACATTAAAAAATGCTTTCCTGGCCGGGCGCGGTGGCTCAAGCCTGTAATCCCAGCACTTTGGGAGGCCGAGGCGGGTGGATCACAAGGTCAAGAGATCGAGACCATCCTAGTCAACATGGTGAAACCCCGTCTCTACTAAAAATACAAAACACTAGCTGGGCATGGTGGTGCGTGCCTGTAATCCCAGCTACTCAGGAGGCTGAGGCAG